TTCAATCGTTCTATAATCGAACCAATTCGAATTTTTTTTAAAAACATTTTCTTACACAATTATTCAATAATAGAACCACGTTTTGAAATTCTGAATTTTAAGAACAATAAAAAGAAACATTTTTTTGTTTTTTAAGCGTTACGATGAAAGAGCATTTTGAAAAATTAACACGTCGTAAATTTTTTTAAGGTTGCACATCGTAGCGTGTTAAAAAAAATAAATAAAAAAACTCTTTCTTGGCTTCTTACTTTATTTAAATTTAAGATAAAGCACGAAAATGTTATTTTCTGAATAAATTTTTACTTGATTTCTCGAGGCGATGTGAACTATCTAAGAATATGACTACATAATTAAACTATGGCAAGAAAGGTACAGTACGTTCGATGCCTCCTCTGTATTTAAATATTTAAATCTATGACGTCGTTAACCTCTGCATGGGGTGGATAATATATGATTTTGGCATTAAATACAAGCTTAAAGCTAGATAATTCTTTAATGTTCTCATTTTTTTTTTAAATAAAGATCTTACAACATCCGAGTTACCATAAAGTTCTATTTTTTATGAAGTGATCGGTCGAGTGATTTATTTATTTATTTATTATTATTATTTTTTTCTTTTATGTAGCCCACCCACGTTACAAAAGTGGGTTACGTATCTGACATTCTAGTAACACTTTTTCATGTTACGTTCTACAAAACGTAAACTCCCACCTAACCAACTCACTAGACTTTAATCTCAGTGCGTGCCAATTTTGACCCGTTATGACATAAATCGATTCTTTTATGGTAGTTGAACCTAAATTAATTTACAAAAACTCATTCAATAGGCTAGTTTTGGTTCAGCATTTGATTTTTAAACTGAAGTATTAGTTACGAGTTTAAATTAACACAAATCACCGCTCGTTATCTAAGCTTGTATGACTCATCGGATTGTGTCTCAATCTTATCGAAATCTTTATAATTTCTGAGTAAAATGTATGTTTTTTTCTATAAATTATTCACTAAGCTGCGTACATCTCTGGCTATGCTTATTGTTTGGCTTCTCTCCAGTCTATTATTATGCGTCTTTTTACATGAAGGTCATGGCTTGTCGCGCTTTACGTTTTTGTGAAATTGTAACAAAGGTAAATATAATTTTACGTATACTTTTTTTTTACGTAACAACAGCCTTGTTTAACGTCTCGATTACAAGCCGAAAAAGTCATAATAATTTGTAAACAAACGTTATGTGTTACAAGACTGTTGCGTGCGCGATTTGCGACTGGTTAATGCCTTATAAGTCGAAGTGTGTCGTTTCCACCTGTCACCTTAACGTGTACGGATTAGAAATTAACATACTACAAAATGAACTACTTAAATTTGTGTACACCCACGCTAAAATTCTTGCTTTATTTGACGTAAACATTGAGAATTATAGCGGTAAAAGTACACACAAAAAAAATATATATATATGCTAATTTGGCAACACTAGAGACTATGCAACTTACGAAAGTCCGGTCCGTAAAGAGGTGCAATTAATTTGACTCCATTAAAATTTATGATAGACCAACTTAACGAGTTTATTTTTAATTATTCGTCCTTGCATAGGAACAATGGGGTGAAAATCGATTCGTAACAGATAACGCCCGTTCAGGTATCGAAAACAAATTACTGATCATTGAAAGAAAAGAAAAAAAAATATTTCTCTATCATTTTTTCCCCTTGGTTGTTTCACTTTATTGAGCCAATCTCGTATTTGAAGTTGGGACTCGTTCCAATATTCTTGCGTGCTTCGAGTCGAAATGGTCTGCTTTCAACTCTTGTCCGAGATTAAGATATAATTTTTAGGTTTTTAGGGGGAATAAAATATATAAAATGATCTTCTGTGCGTGTAATGTATATATACGTATTAAAAAATATTAGAATTTCTTATGTATTTATTCGAATTTCTTATAAAATAATACGTAATGTGTTGAGTAATTAATGCTAGAAAATGGTTTAATACAGAAATAATAAAATTTACGTAATGTTATTTTTACTTGGATATATTTATTAAACTTTAGAACTGTTTTCTAAACCGGAAACGGAAGTTATTAAGATTCTTATTTGTCTTTTACTGTGTCATCTATCTCCTTTCTCTTGGCACATCTTGACAAGATTTATCATCACATTTAGACTACATCATCATCACCATCATCATCATTTGGCTTTTACGGAGGTGGGAGGACATGGTGAAGGTGAAGACGGAAACAGACCTTTTACCACGTCCTTTCATCTCCCCTTACTCTCCTCTTCTCTATTCTATTCTTTAGCATCACATCTCTCTTCTGTATTTAATAATTTCATAGCATTATTATGGGGAAACAGTGTTTGCATATTACTCCTGTTTATCTGCAATAATATTAGTTTAATCAAAACTTTTTTGGCTTTTTCTTGCGATTGTTTTGTTTGCAAATCAAATCGATAACGGCTCGATAAATCAAATTTCTATACGTAAATCTCATAACCGGAAACGGAAGCAATTAACGTTATAACTGTTGTTTAGTATGCGTATTGCATCGCGTAACGCTACGCGACAATCGATTTAGTCTTTTTTTTCTCATAAAATATTACAATATATCTGATAAAAACTTAAATATATCCGCTTCCAAATTCAAAGACTTATCTCGTAATAATTATGAAGTAAAATAGAAGTCATAATCAGAACATTTGATGTATTTTATGAGGCTATTTTCTTTCTCAAGTATTTCGTTCCTCGTTGCAATCACTTGTTAAAAATTAATTCGACAATAAACTAGACGAAGTTAAGTTTATACGTAACCATCGTTCGATATTATTCGGTAAGTTTAAACTCACAGATTTAATTTCCTTTCAACTATTGTCTCGTATGGCTTTTAATCTAGATCACTTGTGTCATTGTTAAACCGGTACATCAGCCTATTACATTATATTGAACCGTAGACATTGTTATATATATATATATATAGTTTAGAAATAAATGTAAAATAATTAACCGGATAAAACTCTCTAACGCGGCTACGTGGCGTCAGGTTCTTTGTACCTTTTTACTTTGCCAAGAATTCCTATGGCGACATTGGCACAACTATGTTGACTCTCTATAAACGGCTCAGCTAGTGGAGCAATGCCACGGCGACCATGGACTAACCGTCGACGAACTAAAAAAGAATATCTCCGTATCTAAAAAAAGAATCGTTTAAGACGGACGTCGAATCGCACGTGCTCGGAGACATACGTGTGACTCACCCCTAACTCCGGATCATCTTCCTGTTATTCTTTAATCAAGAAAGAAAACTTTATCTGACTTTTTACATCTCGTAGGCTGCATTTAAAATGACATTTCCGGCTTCTTTCTCAATTACAAGAGCTAGGAGCCACGTGGTTAATCTATCGTTTTATATAGAATAACGAACTCTGATGCCGTATAGGAGGATACGTATCACGTGAGCGGTAAATAAATCCGTATATTTGGACTTTAGTAATTGCTTGATTATTTAATCTTCGGTTTGTTCCCCCCCCCTTTTTTTTGTCACTTGCGAGATTTTTATCGACGAGTTTTGCCGCTTAACAGATGTCACTTCCAGCAGATTTTCTATTAATTAGTTATCTGAAAGTGGGTTGTGTGTTGTTTCGTGTGGGAAGAGCGAAGAGTTCTGTCGCCCACCGATTCCGTTATTTGGTTTAATATAAAGAGGACGTTGAACTATTTCGACAAGAAAAAAAATAACCTCCATCCGACGTATTAACTGATTAAACTATACCATCTTTTGTCACTCCATTGTCGCCTATTGGGATAGATAGTCTGGAAGGGATGAAGAGAACTTATAAATAAACACAACTCGTCTCTGGCACTTTGCCCGTCTAGCTGACTGGGACGAGTAAATTATGACCACACTATCGAGAAGAGGGAATTTTGAAGTATTTTCAAACTGGGTGAAGACGGATTTGATCGGCTACCTTTTCAGTAGATTCTCTGCTTGATAATTAATGGACATACAGTTTGTAAGATGTTTCTACAACCTCCCCGTCTGGTTCAGAACTTTGTACCACTGTTATTTTACTATATATTAGTCGGAAAACTTGACATATTGTTAAATTGAAAGAGAAATTTCAAGTTTTAAATGATATCTTCCCTATTCTTCGTGATTTAATTGGACATTATTTGGAAAATAGACATAGGCTTTTTTTTATGTTGTCTGTGAGTAATTTGCATATAAAGTATCTAAGCTATAAAGTATCATATGTTGAGTTTATAAAGAGATAAAATAAGATAAACAGTTATGACTTGTGTAGGTGGATTTGAAAATTTTTAAGTAGGCGCTTCGACCTTAGTACGTGGGTCTATTATTTGTCGAAATTCTGTAGTAATCTCAACTTTTTTTTTTCAATTTAATTATTATTTACGTATTAATTATTTCCTTGTAATTATACTTTAATTGTGTTGTGAATAATTAAATTATTCAACTTTTATTTACAAATACATTTAAGTCATTTTACACAGTATTTAAAATTATAAATTATCTATATTTTAATGTAGCAGAATTCAAACAATCAATGATTATCTTTTTATCATAATTTGAATTTAATGTTTTGACTTTTGATCAGATTTGTTTAATAATTATCTGACAAAACAGTTAAGTTGTGAAATATAGAAAGAAAACTAAGTATAGAATAAACTTCTCAGCTATAGGCCTATATATTATATTATTGCATATATCGAATTGAATTTTAGCAATCTTAGATGTTAAATATGTCTAATATTACTTGATAATAGTAATATTAGTTTTATAGATGATTAATAAGCTCAATTATAAAGAATTTAGGTTATTAACTAGTTAAGATTAATAAAACTTCCAGTTAATTACAGAAGATATAATGAGTAAAACCTTGTTCTGAACTTAACCTAATCCATTAAAACTTTTTAAAGTAATCTCTAAGCATTATTTAAATATATATCAGAAAAAAGAACTGCATAATAATTAATATTTAGCCTTTTATTTTCTAAATGTCCCTAATTTTCATCAAAGTATTGAAAAATATATACTTAAAATTAAGATCCTTGTATGTATATATATATTATTATTTTCTTTATCGCTACTGAAATTATGTTAGCAACGCTCATTAAAATCTCTTGTCATTACTTTATAGCTAACACATGTTTCCTTCGTCTGCCTAATGTATCTTATGCGTGTAGATTATATTTTTAACATAAGTTAAGAATACAATAAATAAAGAAGATTAACAAAAACTAGGACTGTGCCACATCACCGATATTGGTGCAACTTTTAAACTATTTGGCTATCTGCTTTTAGCCAAAAAATATTATGATTTAACTTTAAACGATTTTCAACTAACATCTGATATGAAACATCATTTTTCACTAACATTCAGCTTTCTTACTTGGCGCAACTTATAAGAATATCGCGTGACTTCATAAAGTAAGCCGATTTCGGGGTACCTCATATATGACGTAAGAAAGACGTATGCCATCGTAGATTCAACTCAATTTAATTATTATTCTTCCAGTGAATTAATTAATAAAAAAACACATGTAAATGATGTTCAGTTTTCAAAGAATCACACAATGCACTCAATAATTTTTAGATTAATGTATTTTATAAACTTTTAAAAACATCCTGCAAAAATATATAAAATTTTAAGAGGTATAAAATGCAAATTAGGTCGTTATAAGTTCTATATTTTGTGTGACGTTTAATGTTTTTGTATTTTTATTGAAGAGACAAATAATACAACCAATGCAATTCATTTGCATTTGTCTATATCAGATCAAACTATACATAGATTTAATGAATGATAAAATAAGAAATCTGACATTATTAGTGTGATTCCAGTTTTAATATTCTGTAAGCTTTTACAGCCATCAGATATGCATTTTTTTTTTTAATTATTATTACTTGTAAACATTGTATAGTTTGATTTGGTTATATTTATTCATTACAGATCATTATTTCAGTAGAAGTTCTATCAGAAATATGTTGCATAAGATTTCTTTTGAATGCATATAAAAATAAATCTTCTAAGAATTTAATGAATTATTTAAAAGTTTAATAATAAAACAAATATAAGTTGGCAAAACATTCTATAATAAAAATTTATATTTATATATGATTTCAAATTACAACAATTCATATGATTTAAATAATAAATTCAATTAAATCAATGTAAAAAATGTTCATAAAATTAATCCTAAATCTTTAAAATATGTTATAAAATATTTAATATAAAATTATTTGTGAAACATTTATGTATATAGTTATAATTGAATTGTATATTTTCAAGTATTTTTTTCTAAATAAAGAAAAAATAATAATATTTTAAAAGTCAGTTTTTTTTAAGCAAAATAAAATGTTAAGTTGTAACATTTCTTACAAAATATACTTAAAAAATGTCAACTGATATTTGAAAAATTGCTATTTAATTAAATATGACATGGCAGAAACAAATATATAAATAGTTATATATATTTGTAACTATTAAAAGTTTTAACTGAAGAAATTTTTAAACTAATTTCTTATATATTATATATGTTGTTGTTATATTGAAAGTAGTAATTTTTATTGCTTGAATTATTTTTAAATTTTTGGCGAGAAATCTTTAAGTAAACAAGTTTTTTTTCCCCCTTATCTAAAATGATACATTCTACTTAAAAAATCACATACTGGAACAGAGAATGCATTTTTCTTTTTGTCGCAATTGTAAACTTTAGCAACATGTTCAGAGTCTTAATAAATTATATAATAAAAAGTATGCAAATTTATTTTTAAATATGATTAAAATTAATAATTAACTTTTGAAAATTATTTTGTAAATTTATTGAAAGAATTTATTGTTTTTTGTTGTTGTTGTAACTTATTACGCAATTTAATTTATTCCAATTTCTTATTAAATAAAGAAAAATTATGCAAATTTATTATAAATTATTAATAATTTACAAAAATAAAAACTTGATTAATTTTAAGAAGAAGATAGTTTTTATTTTTAGAATAATAGTATTTTGTGCAGTAATTTTTTTAA